AAACATTTAATACTTCAGATTGTATATTACATACATATTGTTTTCTATTCGTAAGATAACTTTTAATCCAAATGTAAGTTTTATTAATTATACCATAGTGTTTTAACTTATCTAATAGGATGGAGTGGTCAACTGTATCAAAAGCTTTTGATAAGTTTATAAAAACAAATTTACTTTTTATAAACTTAAAAAAGTTTATAAAAAGTAAATTTGTTTTGTTTAAATCCATCAGTTATTTGATTAACTAATTTAACGATTGCATTTTGAAAGGTTTGAAATCCAAACTGGGTTTCAAACATTTTTTTTGAAATCCATTTATTTTTAGTGAAGTGATTATAGATTCTATTATAAATTACACGTTCGAAGAATTTTGAAAATACAGAAAGTATTGATATAGGTCTATTGTTGGTTATGTCTGAATGTTCATTACATTAAAATATAAAGATTACTTTTGCTAATTTAAGGACATCAGGGAAAATCTCAGATGATATTGAGAGCTTAAGCATATGGATCATACTAGATTATATATAACTAGATGTCTAACTTCGACCCGAAAAGTGAAGCCGATTTTTGTCCTTTTTACAAATGGTGGATTAAATTTGTAAACAAATATTTTTATCTTTTCTTTTCTTAAATGAAGTAAATATATTTTAAATTGAAATACTATTTATGTAAAAGTGTTAGGCGGAAATTTTAATACTTGTAAAATAATAATTTATGATTCCTTAATTTATTTTCGATTGAAAAGTTTTGAATAAATAAGTAAAACGACAGACTCTTTTGAAGCATTTTTATGAATTAAAATACTTTTTAATAAACATAGGCTCATAAAAAAACTTTTATAAGTATTTTATAATTATCAAAATTTAATTTTAAATTTTCTTTATTTTATTAGGAACTTTTGAATTGCATTTTTAACTTTTATTCCACACTTCGGCTTAAGCTTTTGCCCTTTTTACAAATGGTGGACTATTGTTATAAACAAAAAAAGCGGCTTCATTTTTTGTCTAATAAAATCCCGCAAGTTAGGCATCTTGTTTATATAATATATCATTGAACTCCTATAATAGCGAAACTGGTTTAAAACAAATTAATATTATTAACGTTAATTATATTAACTAGCTGATCTGACCCGTAAAAATACAGGTTTTTGTAAGTCTATTTCACACTGAACTTTTTTATACCTTTTTCGTATATATATCCTAGCTTTCCTGACCCATAAATTATATGAGTCTTTACCAAATCTACCATTTCTATACTTATCTATTTCACACCGATCATACCTATACCTATTATTTGTTTACTTCAAGATTTTTACGTGAAATAATTCATTTAAAAAAATTGCTTTAAGAGCAAAAAAGTTAAATGCGCACCCTTTCAGCATTCCTAGAGTTTATAAGATATTTATAATTAGGTTTTTTTTCTCCTAAACACATATCATTGATAGCTCAGTGGTTTAGTGCGCTGTCACCAGTGTCGTTTTAGGGGATTAAAGACATCCCCTTATAAATTTTTAAAAATTTTCATTCTTTCTGTATTTATAGCAATATTTATAGCAATAATTTTATAACAGTATTGCAGTTTATTACTATTTTATAACAGCTAAGCTGTTATAAAATAAACGCTAAGCAATCGCCCTTAAATTACGCAACGTTTTTAAAAAAGTAGATCTTCATTTCATTAGGATAGCGATTTTCATTAAACTTAATAAGCTATATAAAAGTTTTATTTAATATACGACTGTGCGAGGAAAAATTTTGATCATTTTTGTTTTCTTCAATTGTGAAATTTAGCGTTGCGTAATTTATGGACAATCCCTTATTTTAAAGTTTAGATAAAGGATCAGCCAAAAAGTGTAAAGTCAAAAAATAATATAGTATAATAATATTTTGATGGTTATCTGAATTTATGTCGTTGTTGCACATTCGGCTTTGAATACTTAACGGGGGCGTGGTAAAATAGCTGTATAACTCTAAATTTCCTTATTGTATCAATATTAAATAAGTTTAACTTTTAACTATTTTTAAAATAATTAGATTAATAAAATGGTTTAATTAAAATATAAAATTAGAATTTTTAATAACTTTCTTATAAAAAACATACTTTTTAAACCCCCGTACTGTTTTAAAAAAGTTGAGTTCGCCGCGTGGCAAGTTCAAATCACCAGCTTGCTTTTTTTTTAACTTTTGTTATTTAAAATGCAAAAAACTTTACATAGATTTAGATTCTATTAGCATAGATTTTATATTCTATAAATAAAGATGTTGTACACTCATTTTATTGCACAAACTCAACTTAGTTCTAAAAAACTTGAAATATAAAACTAAAATAACATAAGTATCTCAACCATGACACACACGCAAGAAATATCCCCCCGTTTTTTAATGTTTTTAGAATTTTTAGCTTTTTTAAAAATTTTGTTGTTTGTTAAAGTGTATAACATTGTTAGATATGTTTGTATATAATCTTTATAAGACTTCATTACACCTTTTCAAGATGTAAATGAGAACATGAATATTGTAATTAAGAAGTCATAATATGTAATTAAGAAACACAACATGTAATTGAGAAAACGTTATATGTAATTGAGAAACACAACATGTAAATAAGAAGTCGTAACATGTAATTAAGAAACACAACATGTAATTGAGAAAACGTAAGATATAATTGAGAAATCATAATATGTAATTGAGAAATCGTAACTTGTAATTGAGAACACATAAATTAAAATAGCAAATTCACAGTCTAAGTTTGTAGGTTGTTACAAAAGGTCTTTTTGGACATGAATTTAAGTTATAATCTTAAATTTTGCTTTTGTATGCACAAGTAATAATAATGGAATTGAAAGATCGTTGTGTTATATGCCAATACACTATGACTCGAAAGTCTGTGATTAAGCTAAATCCGTGTCAACATTTATGTCACCAAATTTGTTTACGTCCAGTTCTGGAACAATCAGATTCAAGTTGTCCGATTTGTCGGCATGAAATACACACAACTGAACAAGTTGAAAGGAAACATTACGTTTTATCTTCTCCAAATGACAGGAGAAGAGTTGTTGAATGTGCGGAGCGATTTGAAGATTGGGTGAATCTCGCGCAAACGCTAGGTATCAAATATAAGACAGCATACAATTGGGTTCGCAGCGGAAATTCAAATTTCATCGGAAAAGGAGGTTTTAAACCAAAAAAGTTGACCGAAAATCAAATCGAAGAAACATTAACATGGATTGAAAATGATTGTCAATTAACATTAGTGGCCATCAAAACAAAGATATTTAGACAATTTAACATAAACGTTAGCACAACAACAATAGCAAATTACCTCGAAGGCAGATTGTTCTCATTAAAAAAAGTGCACAAGGAGCCTTCTACAATGAACAGTTATGAAAACAAACAAAAAAGAGCTGAATATGTTAGAAACATCAACGAACATATCACAAATGGTCGTCAGATAGTTTGGTTGGATGAAACAAATTTTAACCTTTTTTGTAGAAAAACGCAAGGAAACAAGGAAAAAGAGCAATTATGAAAGTACCTGCTTCAAAAGGTTTAAACATACACTTGATCGCAGCTATTTCAACTACAAATGTCGTCATGATAGAAACTCGCAGGGGATCATTTAAAGCAGATTCCTGTAACGAGTGGATGTTGGCTATGTTTCACCAGTGGGTTACATCCGGGAATCGTTTGGAGGATTTGGTCGTCGTAACAGATAATGCTCCTTGTCACGCTCGTTTGCAAAGGGTGTTTGATAATTCACCAGCTCAGTTGATACGTTTGGGACCTTACAGTCCAATGTTGAACCCGGTGGAAACGATCTGGTCCAAAATTAAAAGTAACGTTAAAAATGCAATTCGCATTCCACCTGTATTAGGTGACGGGATTGCGGAACAGCGCATGCAGTACTTAGAACGAATTGTAATTGAGGCGAAAAATACTATAATTGGAGGAGATTGTGCACGTGCGGTACAACACACAACCACGCACTATGCAACAATTTTAAATATGGAAGACGTACAAGTTGGTGCTTAAATGATCAATGAAGTGATTTTTAATTATATAATTTTTAATTATAATTTTTAATTGAATTATAAATTTTTCCCTAAAATGTTTTTAGTGTTTATTATGTTAAATTCATTTGCCCAAAAATTATAAATTTTTCCCTAAATTTTTCCCTAAAAAATTAAATTTACGCTACAAATCTTGCGTCATTTTTAAGTGCGTCATTTTATACGCTCCATTTTTTTACGCGCCATTTTTTTTAAGCGCCATTTTACACACTCCTTTAAAGCGATATCTAAATTAAAATTTTCGTGTTCTCAATTACATCTTTCTATTTCTTAATTACAACTTACATTTTCTCAATTACATGTTACGATTCTTAATTACAATTTTCGTTTTCTAAATTACATCTTATGTTTCTTAATTACAACTTACGTTTTCTCAATTACATCTTACGTTTCTTAATTACAACTTTTGTTTTCTCAATTACATCTTACGATTCTTAATTACAATTTTTGTTTTCTCAATTACATCTTGAAAAGGTGTAGTGTTTAAAAAATTTTTTAAAATTAAAAAAACTTAAGTCACCGGTGGTTGGATTCGTCTTGTTTAGAAGCGCGATAACCACTCGGCCTGGCTGACACGTTGGTCGTTGAAATTTTAAAACTATATAAAATTTATTTTTAGCGGAAATAAATGCTGTAGATCAAAAATTAAGAAGAGGTTGACGCAATCCATTTTTTAAGTGAAAGTCTAACTGTAAAACTTGATATATGTTTAAATATGTTTTAACATTACGCGACGTTAGAATTATCTTGTTCTATCTCCACCTTTTTTTTAGTTTTGAGATAAAACGATTTAAAAAACAAAAACTTTAGGAGACTTTTTAACAAAAGACGAACTCAAAAAATTTCTATTTAATATATAACATTAATTAACCTTTACTTAAAATAAAAACCGTGTCCATTAATCAACATAAAAAAAAGACTCAAACAATTTTTATTAAAAAAAATTCTTTTCAGACTTTATGCCAAGAATGTTATCACTTTTTCATTTCGTTAATTTTCTAAAAAAAAAAAAAAAAAAATTATCGAGTATTTATTATAAAGTAATACAATATTTGATAATAACCCCTATTAAAACAAATAAATCCCTATTAAATTGTATGGTTAAATTTTTAATTAGTGGTTATACGCAATTTATTTTATAGTTATTTTTTTTATTATTTCATTACCTTTATTCTGTCAAAAAATAAAGATAAAGTAAATAAAAAAAAGGCAAGATTTTATAAGTCTAAGCTAGCCTTCGTATGCTGGGAGGAGACATTGTTGTATACTGGAAAAAGATAAAATGTTGTAATAATTTTTAAAATAGGTATTAATTTTTATGTGGCATACAACTTTAATAGTACTAAATTTTACCAAAACAAAACTGTAAAACTGGCAATATTATTAAATTTAATATTAAAAAATCTTGAATTAATGGAAAATCTACACAAAATGGTTATTATCGCCCGACAACCTAAGTTATTCAATAAAAATTAAACTTATTTGATAAAACAAATTTATTTAATAAAACTAAAGTCTCAAATAGTAATTTACCGTATTGTTCGATGTTGGTGACTTACCGCATTACTTGAAAGTCACTTGTACTGTTGTTATTATAATATTTAAAAAAAAAAAGTTTTTGAATAAATTTTTTATTAAATCTTACCAGACATTTTGGGTTAAGAGCGTATTTGTCACAAAGTGGGTAATAAACACATATTTCTCCAGCTTTACAGTGAAATCTTGGATCTTCCGCAGTATAGCCAATATAATCAACACATTTTATCCGAGGTTCTAAAAGATAGATATTTCAGTGCACCAAAATTTCTATTTACACAATTATACATTTAACATATCTTACTTAATTAAAAATTAAAAAAACGGTACTTAATTAAGCAAGACTAAAATTAAATTTACATTTTATTCTAGTCTGCTTTTATCAAGTACTTTTATATTAGTATTAATTCAGTGGTTTTATATGCAAGGTATAACATTACCTGAATTTCTGCGATGTCTTCTTGTCTTAAAGATAAAAATAAAAGTACGAATTTAACGAAGTATTTTAAATTTCGAGAGAGATTTCTTTGTAATCATAACAAATCGTAATATATCCATACATACAAAAATAAAAATTTACACATGACTTGAAATTATTATAAATATATGTATATATATATATATATATATATATATATATATATATATATATATATATATATATATATATATATATATATATATATATATATATATATATATATATATATATATATATATATATATATATATATATATATATATATATATATATATATAGTATGCAAAAAACAATTAACTGTAAACTTAAAAAAATCATAATTTTAAAGATTGCATCAAAAAAATTAAAATTACATTTTTTTTTTAAATATCTTTTCCAGTATCGTTTTAAGAATTTATTTTTATATTGGTGAGTTAATTGCTTTTCAAACCTATTGAATTTTACACAATTGATCTAATGATGCATAAATTTGACTGCAAAATCAATCGTACAGTTTAAAAATAATGTCAAATAGATCAAGTTCTAAGGAAATTAGCATCGAGTGGGGCCTCCATTAACCTTGATGGCCTCAGCTAGACAATTTGGCATTGAGGTGACCAAAATTTGGTCACCTCATTATTCATTGTAGCTTCTTTGAAGTCGTCTTAACGCCAAAATGTAAGGTCGCCAATTTTTCTGTCCAAAATTACCACAAATTTTCTATTGAACTCAAGCCCGGGCTTTGAGACAGCTATTCCAAAACATTGATGTTATTTGTGTCAAAGTATACTTTCGTTTTCTTATCGACATGTTTTGGATTGTTATCCTGCTGGAGTATGAAATCGTTTCCCATTCTCAGTTTTTAAGTAGACGGTTGCCAGTTAGTTTTAAAAATTTCACAATACATTGAAGCATTTATTTTGTCATTAATAAATGTAAAACTTCCAAACTCTTTTTCAACTCATACTACCTCAAACCAAGTTTTTAAAACTAATTTAGCACCAATCAAATCTATTTGTCTTCATATTAATGATTATATTTCGATCAATTACACTGGTTGCATTTTTGACCTCTACCAGTCACACTAGCAAATGTTCCAATCAGATTATGCTTCTTAACAATTGAGAAAACAAAAGAACACAAAAGAACACAAACAACATCAATGTTTTGGAATGGTCGTCTCAAAGCCCGGACTTGAGTCCAATAAAAATTTTGTGGTATATTTTAGACAGAAAAATTAGCGACCGTGCATTTAGACGCAAAGATAACTTCAAAGAGCTAAAATAAGCGCATGGGATAATATAACAACAGAAGAGACCCAAAATTTGGTCAACTAAATCCCAAATTGTGTAGCTGAGGTCATCGAGGCCAAAGGAGGCCCCACTCAATATTAATTTCCATGGAACTTGTTCAATTTGACGTTTTTTTCAAACTGTACGATTATTTTTTTTGTACTCAATGCACCACTAGATCAATTATGTTAAATTCAATAGGTTTGAAAAGCAATTAATTCACAAATACACAAAAAAATTCTTAAAATAATACTTGATAAGATATTTAAAAAAAAAAAAAATTAATTTAACGGACAACTCATTTTTTGAAGTAATATTTAAAATTACGATTTTTTTTAAGTGTACGATTATTTTTTTGCATACTGCATATATATATATATATATATATATATATATATATATATATATATATATATATATATATATATATATATATATATATATATATATATATATATATATATATATATATATATATACTATAATAGTGTTAATATACTATACAAACGTAATCATTTTTTTCAAACAATATTTAAAAATAAAACCCGTTATATAAAATAATGAAAAATATTTTTACCATTGGTAACGTGTTTACACTAAAAGTATAAAAAATAAATCCCAATGACAAGCAGACAAGAAACTTGGTTACACTCATTATTTGTATCTAAATAAAAAATCTTTTTAAATACGTAAAAAATGCTACTTGAACTGCCAAAATAATCTAATCATTTTTTAAATACATTTCCTTCTAGTACACTACGTTGGGCTAACGTCGTAACAATATTGGAAGCGTTGGGCCAGCGTTATTTCAACGTCGGCCGACCGTGATGTGCTGGGTAGTTATCACTTAAACTGCTAACTATTTTTTGCCAATATCGGTTCTAAAGCAGTCAAGCAATACTCTAAAAAGGAGCTACTACATCGATAACTTTAGTTATAAAGGATACTATAACAATAGCGTGTTTTTATTATTTTTGCATCTTCGAAAATTTTTCTTAATTAACAACATTAACAATAGTTTTAGGAAAAAAGAAGATTAAGAAGTTTAAAAAGAAAAACTGCAATGACAATACAAAACCATATAATAATAAAAAAGTAAACACAAATTTGTAAGAAATATTTTTATAGAATAGTGTATTTTATTTGTATCGCTTAAAATAAAAAATCTATTATCTAATATCCATAGATCATATTTATAATTATAATATTTATTTTCAGTTTTAGAGCTTTTTGAATAACTGTAAATAAATTATCATCTTAACGTTAATAACAGAAAAAGACTTATTTACTAACCTAAAAAAATATTTTAAAAAAGCAACAAACGATTTCTCAAAGAACTGTTACCAGTTTGAAAATGTTTAATCTGGCCGGTTGTTAAAAATGTAGTTCCTAATAGAAAATATCGCACTTTTATATTTATATACTTTATATTTTTTAGATTTCTTATATAGTTCTTATTTTATCAATTTTCATTTCAGTAAATTTTTTTATAATCTTAATTATTGCACGCTTTCGTTCTAATGCTAATAACAAGAAAGATTATTAAAAAAAAAAGTTATTATCATTTTTGTAATGCATAGTATATTGTGTCATAAAAACATCTATAAGCAATGCTGTAGTTTCGAAATGTTGTTTATTTTAAAGGCGATTTTACGAATAAAATCCTCCATATTAAAATTTAACCCACTGAATTGTGTCAAATACCCGCCGACTAAATTCGTCAAAAAACCGACCATAACTTGAAGATCACCATCTTTAGAGGGGAGGAGGGGAGGAGGTAAAACAACCCTTATCCCCAAAATCACCTCTGAATATAAATAATGATGTTTTTTTCGTATTGACTAAAACATATAAACTAGCTAACTGCATATCCTAACTTATGCGTTAGGTTATCTTAACGGATAAAAACTGTTTGTTTTTTCATTGTTATTTGTGTTATCACTAATTTTTTGTGCTCGAGGCATGAGCATAATTTTTTTTTTTGGTGAGGAAATAAGTTACTCACATAAATGGTGAAAAACAAATTTTATACTTTTAAAATAATGTGAAATAAAGGCGTTTTAAAAATATTACTGTGATTTGAGCCTGAGAACAAAAAAGGCCCTTAAATTTATAAAGAAAATTTTATTGGTCTTGTCTTAACTAAAACTGTTTTGGTCTTGATCTTAAAAATGTTTTAGTCATAAATTTAATAGCCATGATCTCAGTTTTTTTCTTGGTCCTGAATATTAAGTCTTGCCTCGTTTATAACAAGACCATACAAAAAAACTTAAAATGTTCAAAATCACTAAATAAATCTTAAAAAGTATTTTCAATTTTTGAATTTTATTTGTTTTGAAGTGTTTTATGAAACTCTTTTATTAGATCTTTTTACCACAAGTACTTGTGAAAAAAGCAATATTATTTTGAGCTAATTGAAGAAAGCGTTTTTCATTTGTGCGTAAGAAAATTCAGTTTGAATGCAATCTTTTAGTTGTTTAAAACTTCCGCTCAATGTTAATTTTGGCTTCTGCGTCAGTTTAAAAGTTTGTAAAAATGAAAATAAATGAGAATATGGGTGTAGGATTTTTTTAAGAAATGACGCAATAACAAAACACAACTACATCAGCGAGACACTATTTAGTTGTTAATAAACCCCAATATATACCATGAATTCAAAATCTTGAAAGCATTTACAAAGTTCTCCTTGAAATTACTGATAGGTAAATGGGTTGCTTAAATCAGTAATTAAAGGTATATGACAAAAAATTACTTAGTTTGAGTTCTTTAAAACTGGTATTTGTAGATTTTAATTTGTATCATTATTTAATTATAGAGAGTTTGGTTAACTTTTATAGACTATTAAAATAGAAAGTGTTAACTGCACTTTTAAAGCACTCGTAACACATGTTTACGCTTGTAGTTTAATAATATTCGAGAACTTTCAATTATAGTATGTAATAAAATAAGTAAAACTAGATAATTAAAATAAATAAACTGAATTGAGAATAATTTGAATAACTATTCTCAGTTTAGTTTTTTAATAATGATCATTTTTTAATTTACATGCTACAAGAAATTTTAAAACAACAACTGTACCTTGCAGCATTCTTTCTCAAGCCACGCGTAAACCCATCAAAAGGAATGTTAATCCATCAATCTTAACGTTCCCTGTGGGCACGCGTCGTCCGGGAGACGGGCTTCTTAAGTTCTTCAGACGACGCATGCCCACTGGGTTAGTTAATCAGTTGTAACTTTAACCATCAGATGTGGCGTTAAACCTTTAGTTGAGACGTTAATTAATCAGTTGTAAGTATTTAGTTAGCAATTCAGGAAAAATAACAATGAAATACTCTTGTTGATTGGAAAGGTTCAACAATGAAAAATCAAATGATAGATTAAATAGTTAATTAAACAAAACTCACATTTTTTCAGCTAAAATGTTTCAGATCAAAGATATTAATGATTAGGCAACAAGAAAGATCTTGTGCTGAAACATAATATTTTGGATCTGAGTTGTAATGTGGAAAAAGTGCGTTGTGTACTTGTTAGTCAAATCTAATTTTGCTTTATAAAAGTCAAGAACAACGTTGTAGACTAACTAAAGCAACCTTTAAAGTCAAAATACCAATTTAGCATAAAACTGTCATCACCGTTATTGTTTTTAAGCTAGATAACTGCTTCATTAGATTACATCACAAAAAGTTCTCTTTGCCCTTTTCTATTGTTACATTTTTATTAGGAACGCAGAGTTATTTAAACTTTCTTGGAAATTCAAAAACTTGTTGTTCTAGCTATTGTTGATAATATACAGTAACGTGGCTAGTGGGTTGGAACCCTCCCCCCCATCCCCTTTTCCTCCCAAAAAACCCTTCACTAGGCAAGTGTCACTAGGCCCCCAAAATCATAACAACTTTTCCATTATAAATACTAAAAAAAAAAAGTTCCATAATTTGTAAAATTTGCTAAATTTATAAATGGGCTTCTTAAATTTGCTCACCCCCCTTCCCACAATCTTCAAGTTCTAAAAAAAGTCCCCTATATCTTGAATTTTCTTAAAAAAAAAATTTGTAGACCCTGTAGTAACGTTTGTTGCTGGTATCAGAAGAATACGTTTTATCAACTTCCTGATTTTTGATAATGATTTCTTTTCAACTTCATTTGCTTCTCTGTAAAATACAAAAAATTGTGTGTTATATTAGCAAAGAAATACGCATTATAGTGCATATGTTAGTCAATTTGAGATACACTGCAGTCGTAATTGTGAAATAAATAACAATGAAATTTATAGAAAATCCATTCGTATCTTACCTGACAAAATTAAGGTCTTTTTGCAGAGTGTCTCATGGTTTAATTGTAGATTCGTGCATAACATGTATTGTAGATGCAGTTTTGAAACATTCAAATCTGTAGCACAGCAAAAACATCTTTATTTATTGAATTACCTTCAGGTGAAACATTTACAAGTACTTATTCTATCTTTTGAAGCATTAAACATCGTTGTTGTTCAAATCTAGATATAATACCCCCAATTGCCATTTCTATAGCTTCAAAATATATTTTCTTGAAAAAGTCAAAACTAGAATTTTCAGATAATACTGATGCAGATGCTCCAAAATAACAAGATACTTTGCGATGGCGGGGCAAAGCAGGTTTTTCTAGAAGAAGCAATTTTTTATTGATTTTAATATGGTTGAAATTACGCTATCCAGGATAGCGTAAATGAATTTTCAGGCCGGATAGATTTCAATGTAATCAAAGTTCTTTCAACAACTTTCTGACCTTCACTAGCCGAAAGTGTGACCATTTGCAAAATTTTTGATAAATTGTCTACCATGCATAGAATAGTCTTGTCAATTAAATTCCAAACGAGAAATAGAATTTTTACATTTGTGCTACAACTCCGCCTATTCGAGCAACAATCTCACTGTCTTTTGTCTCAAATTTAGCTTCTTCCCAAGCAACTTGTAAAGCTTTATAGTTTTCAGATATGAAATAAAATAATTCTGCTCTTACCGTCCAGCGTGTAGGGCAGAGTTTACGAATACTGGGTGCCCCTGGGAGAATATTTTCTTTTACCGTCTTGAAAAGGCATTCATATTTGGGAGATTTTTTTTATTAACTTTGTAATTTCATGAACAGTGTTCAAAGCATTTTTCATGATGCTGATAGCTTTAAACGTATCTTGGACTGCTAATTTCAAAGCGTGACCATAACAAATGGGATATAGTGCTTTGAGTTCGAGGTTACTTTCTCTTTGCAACTCCAGACTTGCAACCTGTCATGACGCTTGCACCATCATAACATTTACCGCGACAATTAATAATTGAAAGATTCACCCGCATAAAAACATCTTTGATAGTTGCAGCAATACTTTCAGCAGATTTATTTTCCATACTGTAAAGTTCAACAAACACTTCATGCCCTTCTAAGTCATCTTCATCTACATATCGCAACCAAATCACCAATTGCTCAGTGTTGGACTGATCTGTTGTTCGATCTACCATAATAGTAAACCATTTTCCAGAATAGTTGGATGTAATTTTTCTGAGTATAGTGAGACCCATTATCTCTAGAATTTCATTTTGGATAGTTGCACTTGTAAATTTATCTTGCGAATATCTCATCCATTTAGTTAAAGCGGGATTATCTTTGCTTCTGAAATTATGTAAATGAGAAAAGTTT